ATCGAGGCGCTGTCTTAGCCGAACTCTGTGCAAAGGCTTCTTCACTTGGCGGGAACAGCGCGTCAACGAAGTCTTGAACACTTACGAAAGCCTGTAGCGAGAAGAGAGAAAAGAGATGCCCGTGCGCTGGAGCAAAAAGGCATATTCTGCGGGAGAGGCGTTGGCGACCCCCTCTAGAACTAGGATCCGCGAGCGTGCTTACTGGCATCGCCGGAAACCGGCTCCATTCGTGCCCCGAGCGGAAGAGCTCATAATCTTCCATAGGACGGTCCGCACAGCACTGTTCCTACAGTGGTCTAAAGCACGACTCCGCGGGTAGTCGCCAACGAAAATCTTGTAGGGGGCCTTCAAGTTATCGTGTCCACCGCGGAACTGCACGGAGTACTTAGGCGGAATCGAAACGTGAGCTTCCTTGCTGATAATTCCAAGCAGGCTGTACCTACCTGCCCGCCTGCCGCTGCCGTTCCGTGACTGTCCGTACAGATCGCGCGCCGTCGTCGTGATCATCCTTTCAGTGTGGAGTAGGCGGTACTCGTAATCGGAGCGTCGCCCGACTTGATCGCTTCGTGTGCATCACAGCGTTGTTATGCTTCACATACGTATCTCAGAAATTGTATGTTGCGTGGGTGCCGCTAGCTTCGGATGTATGGTGGATGTTGCGGTTACTCGTGGATCTTGATCGGCGCCTAGCCATTGTCCTTCATCTAAGCGCCCCCGCGGTAATGTGGGCGCCCGTCGCCACGTGTAGAGCTTGGTTCGCTCCCGTTTAATCCTTTTGTTCCTGTATGTCTGCGTGTGTTTTCGGACAATACCTGTGTATTGTTCCCCCACTGCGCGGGACGGATGTGTTGATATAATCTTGGTTTCGGGGCATGTTCTGCTTTCGCTACTCGCCCTGACCTGACCTGACCTGACCTCGCCATGGATGCCACCAACACCGTCATTCCGCTTCCCGCCGGTCCTGCTGCGGTGATTATGGCTCCACTAAGCTTCGATTATCATTCTCATTATCCTCTCCAAGTATGCCAAGGAGCGTTCGGTGATGCAGGCCACTCGCATTGGTGCCTCGGGTAGGCCTGTCAACACCGTATTGCTGAGCCCATCCCATAGTATTATCGTTACGTGTAGTGAGTGTTGCCCACCAGTGCTGTTCCATAACTGAACCATTGCAGATGTGGACGGCTCTTTGTCCTTCCTACATAACCTCTCATTAGAAGAGCACTCTCGGGTCATATCGCAATCGGAACCCATAGCAATGTGCTGGGCCAAACTATCCGGTCGACCAGCTTTGGCGTGTTTATGTTCTGACGCGAAGATTCGGCTTTGGAAACTACAACCCAACTTCCTCCCATCGCAGTCCTGCAAAGCCACAGTCATTGACGCCGAGATGTTGCCCACCACCAGCGGACTGCTTATTTTCAGTGAAACGCAAAATCTGTTGGCTGTGGCGACCGCCGATAGGCTCAAAGTTTGGGCACTGAACAAGAAAGGTATAAACATGCTCCACCCTCTTCGACTCGCACTCTGACTGTGCGGTCCGCCTTCTAGCAACGCTTCTCGGAGGTCTCCGTTCTACGTCGGAACGCTCGACTGTCGAAAGCATTCGATTCTTAGAACGTCCAAGGAGTTTGCTCTTGTTCTATGGCTCTAACGGCGGGTTGTAAGACCAGGCACTCAAAAGTTATTGAACACGCTCTGATCGTTTGCGCTACAGAGTTGAATATAATATCGATCAGCAAGTCGCTAGGGTCGAGTTGAGGATTCCGTCGGACATGTAAGAGCTTCCATAGCTGACAAGGCCATTACTTATGCATGCGCAGCCATCTCGTCGAGTTCATCAGCGACGATTCTTTTGTTATCTGCACTTCAAGAAACAAGCTAGAGCTACATAGCGTTGCATCCTCACTTCCCGGAACTACGCTCGAGGCGCCCCGCGATCCTGACGCCACCCCTCGCCACGCGCACAACTCCATCCTAGTCATGAAAGTGCTTAGTGAAACTACTCTGATTTGCTGCATGGAGTCTGGCGAGATTCAAGTTTGGGACCTCGCCTCTCGCACATTTCGGGCGATGTTTCGATCACATAGCAGTGAGTTAGAGAGCTCGGCCTTCGGAATTGAGCGGTTGCTGATGCATATTTTAGGCAGGATCAAAGCTATCGCTAGTGTCCGATGCGAATCCCCTATACCAACGTCGATCTGCCGATATATCCTTGCTGTCAGTAGTGTGACGGGCCTCGAGTTATGGGAAGGTATGTTGATGCCATCTCCAACGTTTGGGACCATTCAAACATGCTAGTAGTGTGTGAGACAAACCTTGGGGCGGAAGACGGATCATGTTGGTGCGTGAGCCGGTTATTGCCCTTATTAAGCTAACATACTCTCAAGGAACATGAGTCTCAACGATGACTGCTCAAATATCATGGAATCTTACGAGGATCGGTGAGCATGTTTGCCTCTCTGATCGGTATGCACGTCGCTGGATACTTTGTAGTCTCCCGTTTGGGCCCTCGACCACGCTAGTCAAAGTAGGCGACGACGCCGAAGACACCACCAGCGAAGGTTTAAAGCACGCTACTCGTATGCGCATATATGAAACCATTTCCTGCGCGTATATGTGGCTCAGTTCTCCTTGCAGCCCTCCAATCTTTCAACCCGCCACATATAGACTTGCTCGCGGTGGAACGGCGGCGTCGGCAAACACCCAATGGGCCTGCGGTCGTGAAACGGGAGGAAGGCGGTGGGTAATCTCCAACTGCACCAAGTGTACTACTCATGCTGGCCGCAGTACACTTGCCATTCCCCGAAGACCGGGTCGTCGCACTCGTGATCTCGAGAATATTGAATCTGCTCGTCCTTTCCATCTTCCTAGCCATGGTCCCGTACGATTACTAACAGACGAATAAATTCGAATGGAATGGTGAAATTATGAAGATACGGAGATCTATACCGGGTCCCTAGTGGGGAAGAACGTCGCCCGGCCATGTAATGCGCAGTGGCGTTTCCCGTAGTGCTGCGTGACCGGAGATTGAGTCGCGAGTTCGATGCGGCGCGTGCGTTCGTCACTCCGCATCCCGCTTGTATATGGTCGCGTGGCCTGCGCACTCACCGCCTCACTGGCTCGCTCACTCCGCACGCGCAGATGCGCGCGCGCGCGCTTTTTGTTCAGTTTGGTTCCCCCTTTAACTGCACTGCGCTGGCAGATTCCAGACTTGCTGTTCACACGGAGGCGGATGCGAAGCTGCTTCAGGTATTGCAATTTTGCGCGCATCCAAAGCAGAAACTTTATACGTATAGTCCCGAAGAACACAGTCATGGAACATTTCAATCGCGGGCCCTGTGCAGCAAGTACGCCGTCATCAAGTCAAAGCGCACGTCCCACCCATGCCTCCCCACCGGGTCCCGCCTAACCTTGCACTCAACCATGACGTAGTCGCCTGGGAGGATATTGGTCAAGGGTATGCGGGCGAGATAGGGGGTAGGCCGCATGCGGCGCGTGGCGTCGTACACCTCAGAGAAGACCTGCTCAAATGTAAGCATGGCACAAGTGGTTTCAGATTCGACTCACATAGTTTGGGTCACGCGTAATGAGTTCCGCATGCAGATAAAAGTCTTCTTCATCTATGTCGTCTATCAAGACGTATCAGTAGATGTCTCGGGGGTATAGCGAGCCACGTACCAGGAGGAGGGACGGCAGAGCGTATAATACGCAGCATGCCCCTACGGTCCACATCACGCAGCGGGTCGATATCAATGGAGAGATCAGGAGGGGCTCCGCGATCGGCATGGTACTGGAATCCTTGCAAGATGCCGACAACTCGCAGACAGATAGCGCCACTTTCCACGCTTAACACCACGGGTCTGACCTGGCCATCCCATCCGATGTCATTGGATAGGGTGGACAACGTGTAGACGCGTCGTGTGGGATGGTCCTGATCCGCGAGGCGACGCAGACGACTGAAAAAGCATTAGCACAACACCACAGCGGATGCAGTGTCAACACATACCGACGAATAGTCAGAGGAAGCCTGTCTCGGGCAATCATCATGTCCGCGACATCGGCGATGTCCTCCCCCTCCACAGCGGGGCCAAGGGGTTCGAAGGCAGCGTCATGCTCGCTGAAACCCACTCCAATGTCCGTATCGGAGTCAAGAGAAGGGGTTGGAGAGTAGGAGATAAAGACGGGGTGGGCGCGCGGCGAGTCGCGCCGCGCCACAGCGGCCCCGACCACCTCAATCGGGGGCATACTGGGAGGGTTGTGGGAAGCCATGAAGTCGAATGCGTTCTTCAAGGTCAGCCATTTAACCGACCATGCCACAGCTCACGTCAGGAATGGAAAGATCAGTTGGAGAAAGGGCCATGGTCGGCCGTGATCGATTCATCGGGGTGCGAAGAGAGAGAGAGTTACTTCCAGCGTCTGTCTCGAGCTTCTGGCTGCGACAGCGAAGCGTGAGAATAATACGAATGCGGCAGGAGTGGGGTTTCCTCATGTCTTTGTTCCACCAATCTGGCTCTACTTGCTTCAGGAAGATGCAGCACTTGCGGCCAGGCTACCATCTCCCCCGATAGCCGAGCATCCACTGTGGCGGCGGCGGCGCGGGTAGTTAAAGCAGTATCCGTGGTCGCTTGCGGTACTAGCTTGCCACATCTCGCTCATGCCATCTTCAAGAAGCGTCCTGCCATATTCTCTACGCGCACGCCATCCTCCTGTGAGTCAAAGCTTCTGTATTTCTGCTCGCCAGCATTGAAACTGTGTCGTCTTGCAGAGCATCCGGCAAAACGTCCGCGGCCGGCTCTACGGATATGGGTCGAACAGGCCACAGTCCGTTAGCGTCAGAGTCACACATTTCCAGACCCGGAGGGGGTCAAACCCGTACCTCGCCGCTGAGGAGTTTCTCGGCACATCTCTTTTCATACACGACTGCTCCATCAGGCTGCCAGGGGGTCCATTCCAGCTATACTTTACGCGACATCGCTACCTGCCTCCCAATAGGGCACTGCTATCCGCGCATCCCACAATCTATTGGAGCGGACAAATTCTTGTCATACGAATGGACGGTGCGAGGCATGTAGACCTCAAGCGCGGAGATCTTGCGCTCATCCAGAAAGTGGTCCGCCGGTACCGTGTTATCTGCATCCTCACAAGCTAGGAGAGAACTAACCCCTTCCGAATACCTAGATTCATTGAAGAGCTCTCCAGACGCTCTAGCATACCACGCACTATACGGATGGGACCAGTCGTAAGTCACGGTCTTCGCTCTGATGCAAAGCTCCGATGCGCTGCGCTGACACTACAATTGGTAACATACTAGATCTAGCTGGTCTCGGCACCACGCACGGAGGCTTGCGGCGGCGACGCGCACGCGGCGGCCCGGGGCAGCGCGCGCGAGGCCGCGCCGTCCCAGCGAGTCGGAGACGGATGTCCGGAGTTGTACTAGTCGCAGATGAGACGACATTTCGGTCTGGAATGGTAGCTGTTTGCAGAAGAACGCCAGAGAACACCGCGCGTCCACGCGCCGCTGGCTCACAATTGAGACCTGCTCTCTGCCACAACGCGGCTCGCGAAGGCCACCGACTCACGCGAAGCGCTTGTGATCATTTGACCCCGTTCGGAGAGCACAGCATAGGATCGATCCTGGGATCGATCTTGTTCAGTGTGATCGATCCGCACGCACTCACCTCTGATCAGCTCTGATCATGATCAGGGCTTTGCGCACGCTCTGCCCTGATCAGGTTTCTAGATGTCTGAGTGATCACGCGTTGGACGCTACGGCTACGATGTAGTGGGTGCGCATCGCGCAAAAGTAGCATCCGCTTTAAGAAGTAGGAAGACGGGAGAGGTGGGTCCATCGCGTTACACTTCTACGATGTCTCTCTCACCAGATGCCTCTAGTACTATTGCCAACAGTCACTCGCTAGATGAGACGACGGCGACTCCGGCGAGCTCGACCACTCCCACGACGCCTGCCTCGGTTGCAGGTCAGAAACGCCCTCGTAGCGACTCTTCTAACCAGAATACAGGTGACGTGGAAGGTGAGCACATATCCATGTCCACCCGCAGTAAGGCACACACCCTGACCTCCTGTTCTGCACGACAGACGAGTATTCCGCGATCCCTCGACTCCGGTCTCAGGCGAGGGCACGCCCCGATAATCCCCGTGGGCACACATCCACGCGGGCGCATAAAACGCGGTCAACCATGCCACTCGCTCGCTCTCTCTCGGGATGCACACTCGCTGGGCGATCTTCTGGTCCGGATGTTGCCTCAGTAGATATGCAGGACGCTATTCCAAGCTCTCTACGCGGCCCTGCGGTCCCCGGGACTCCCATCCTTTCGCCAGCCTTCGTCCCTGTCGCTCGAAAACGCTGGTGCGGGGCAGCGCCGAGCTCTGGCACATCCGATGCATCACCCTCCACGAGCCTCGAGCGCGCATACACGAGTGCGGGCGCGAACACCAGTACGAGCGCAAGCACGAGTGCAGGCGCGGGCGCGGGAGCTGATGAACTCTGAACCTGGAAGGCTGTAAGCCGCACAAAGAGAGGTCTTCAGTCTGTGAGAGAACGACTATGATTGCATAGTACTGTACCTGTAAGCCGCACAAAGAGAGGCTACAAGTACTAGTAAGTAAACATGTAAGGAAGCATAGGTAGTGTGGGACTTACTCTTCAGTCTGTGAGAGAAC